ATATATACATAATTAATTAGCCATATTTGTCTCACTTATTTTATTAGATGTAACAACAAGAAAAAATCATCCTCTGTGTAAAAAGGAAAGTGATAAAATCTGTATCTCACTAGGAAAATTTACTGTAAGTAACTGTTAATACTATTATGATCAATATCTCTAACAAACTATTGGTACTTTTAAACAGCTCAGAGACCTTTCAACCAAAGAAATGACACGGTATCATCAGACATGAAAAAACAGTATTTTTTATCCGTCAGGTAGCAAACCAGTAACCATCTGCCATGCAGATGTCATGTTGTCTCTAAAGGAAAGAGCTGAACTGGAGGAGCTGGTTGAATATGACAATGGCCAAGAGAAGACATGGCGGCAGCTGACCGCTCACTGGTTAGGGCTGGATAAGTTCTTCCACACTCCAGTCTGTACTCATTTCGCAGTCATTGTACTGCCTCTAGACTCAGGTGTAACAACTGGCATCACTCCAATAAAGAAACTGGTGTGTTAATGGATCCATTTTAAACAGTCCCTGGAGATCTAGTGATGACAGCCCACCCTCTGGATGAGTGCTTTTTCATTCAAAGAAAGAGCAACATTTTCATTCTACTCAAAAATCTGCCTATTGGGAAGCGCACCCAGGTGTGCACTGATCTCATCACATGGTCTACCAAGCTCTTTATGTCAGGAGGACAAGACTTAGAGTGAGGATTTGCCTTCCCCTAACAGATTCTCAAGAATAAATCCTCCAATATGCCATAAAGCAAAAAATTCACATTACCACATGACACTTGGAAGGAAACTACCAATTTAATATCCCAGTACTAATCAGTATTAGGAACATTTCTGAATAATTTAAACTACACCAAATGTTATGGCTGATCCCAATGCGCTCCCATGGACCCCACTGCCTGCATGAATAGACCTGCCATTGTCAGGCTATGCATGTTTCTTGAGTCCCAGTATCATTCACATTCCAGAAAAGCACATGAATCCTCAGTTCAGTTCTTATTTGTTCATTATTTTAAGCTGCTCCTTATAAGAAGATATCATTTTTCAGTAGCAACAATACAATCAGACATGCACAAAGGAATGAGACTTATTTTGGAAATGCCTTTTTGAAAAATGAAAAAAACTGCATTTTTCCTTTTGTTGCAGCAGCTGTCTCAGGTGTTCTCTCTCTTGCACATAATATAACTGATCAGATATTCTGAAAATATATACTTAAGAAGTTAAATGAATAGGCATTCTACTGTATTATTTCTCTTAAAGAATTAAAGGTTTTATTTTATCTTAAAAGATTCTTGGCTGCATTTCCGTGGTACACAATGACACATTTGGTTCTTTGTACTTCTAACTAAATAATGACATAGTTCCTCTAAGCCATGAAAAATGTTGCATTTGACCAAACAAGAAAGGATGAACTTCTGGGAAATTCTATTCACTGGATCTTGAATTAGACCCAGAACACTGGGACGAATCCTTTCTCTCCTTCATCCTCCTGCCAAACCTGGCTATAACTGCAGTGCCACTGCATTGTTTCTACCTTATTCATTGGGTACTGTGGTATCAACACAAACTGTACTCAACTGCTGAAAGCTTGATTCTCAAACATATGGATATGTTGAAAATTAAATTGCAGGGTTTATTTGAATTTATAGACAGCTCGGTGAATGTATTTTTGAGATACAGTCTCCGTCAAGGAGATAGATGTCACCTGCCATGAGGAACATGATTGTATAACGTTAAAATGCTACGTTCTCTTTGTAGGTAATTCTATTCAATCGCTTCTTGCAAAGATTTGGGTAATGAACACTTGAACATCTGTGGTTTTTGTTTCTTTTTTTTCAGTTTCTCGTTTCTCAGAATCTTGCTTTGGATTTATATTTTGTTATTGAATATGAAACTGCCCAGTTTCTGTTCCCAAGCTGCCTTTTGCATTATATTACTGGAATGTTTCTACCCTGTTGTGAAGTTTCCTACTCTTCTAAACAAAAAAACAACAACAACAACAACAACAAAGCATTGCAGGACAGAGTAAACAGAATCCATATGAGATTATTGAGAAGTGTGAGACAATTTATTCTCTAGAGTCAGACAACGCTGTGGGAACAGTCCAACAATCTTTCAGTAAAAGTGCTCCATTATCTTGTCTGTTTAGATTCAAAAATTTCTTTTTATTTTTCCCCCCTGCTTTTTAATCATCTGGACAGTAGTAATTGGCATCTCATAATACAATTTAGATATAAATCACCTTCCTCAGATCAAACTTATTATTTGAAAAAAGCAGCTGGTCTTAAACACTAGATCATACCATGAACGAATATAAGTAAAAAGCTTGCAGTAAGTAATTTAGTGCAAGCAATCCTTTTCCTCCCTGGAAAATTTTCTGATACTTTTACTAACTGTCTGGTTAATTAATTTTTTTAAAATACTGACAAATTTTATTCAATTGCACATAGTCTGTAATCTTCAACTAAGTGTTATTTACTAGTTCAGATTTTATTTACTCCAAATTAACAACTCACAGAAGAAGGCTTGCCTAAATCCTTCTAATCTCTGCCACATATTAAGAATGTATGAAACTGAAAATACAACCAGTGCAATCTTTCTCAGACTCCAATCAAAAGTAAATATACCAGAGATTAAGTTCAATTAAAAAAAAACAACAAAGAAAACAAGATGTCAGATATCCTTCTCTTCTCCAGAAGGCTTTCTGGTTAGATTAGAAAGTCTTGATCAAAATAATTAAAAAGTATTTTCAAATTGGAGTCTAAGATTACTTCAGTTGGTGTAGAGCTCAAAATAGAAAGAAGGAATTGTTTGCAATGTATTGCCAGGAGAGATCATTTCTTCATTTTATTAGTGGAAAGGTCTAATAGAAGTTGTAAATGTCTTCGGACAAGAACTTGAACAAAGTCAGTAAGATTTGAACCTTGTAATAACTGAGAAAGAAATGAAGGTGTAGATATATTTTTGAGATGCAACTAAAAAGAAATTTGTGTTTTAAAACCATGCAGAAACTCACTTTAGAAATGCCAAGTATTCCATTTTGAATACTAAATGGTTCCACACTATCAAGCTCAATTTGCAGCCTTAATTTGATTCTCCTATTATAAACATGAATTTTGTGGGCACATGCTGTTTTTCTCACCAGAAATTAAATTGAGGTAGCACAAGCAAGAGTCACTGCTCTTGCCCAAGTTCTGAATGCCCAATTTGGCAACATTATGTTCCTCTGACATAGGTGTTCGGGTTGAAACTACTAAAAGCAGACAAATGATTTACAGGCTCTGAAATTACTGTCAATCTCTTAACAACAATCCCAGCTTTTGGATGCCGACAGAACTGCAAACTAATGGCAAAATGCTGAAGTGATCAAGTCTCTTACAGAGTTGGTATAACAAATATGCAAATTAATCTCTTTCTTACTTCTGCCATCACCCAGCTCATTCCTCAAACCTTCTCCAGAAATGAACAAAACTCAAAACAGTAGAAGGAGGAGAGTAGCCAATCCTAGAAGTGAAAATGCGACTTAACCAACATATGGAGAACATGTATAATAGACATTGTAAAACAGGAAATGCGTAAAGAAAATCCTGACTGAAACACTTCACACACACAAATCTTTCCAAGATAACGGAAAGGTGATTTTATCTCCCAAACAAAGCAGAGTGATATCCCAATGCAGCACGTTTGGTACGCTAACCCGGTAGCAGTGGGAAGCTGTAGCAAAGCAGGAGGTCAGGCCCTGCCATCTCCAGCATGGCAAGAAATGGATGAGAAATGTGATACAGGTCAGCTCATCAGGGAACCTTCCATCCCGTTGGTTAATTTTTACTAGCAAACCTCCTGAAAAGCACTGTGCTGTATCAAAAGCCTTGATGTTTTTAAAACAAAGAATTTATGGGCACTGCAAGTGTAACCTGCCTTCCTTTGTTCACTGAAATACATCATCATTTTGTGCATTGTGGTAGCAAAAGTAATTTAAAGGATTCTGACAGAAATAATATATATATCATTAAATCTGTCCATTAATATACTCATGGTATTATAAACATAGCGGTTTGTGGATGACAGAAACTAAAACCAACTCATTTGTTTGTGTCAGTATTAAAATGTAATACATTTTCTTTTCAGATTCAAGCCAAGTGAACAGAGCTTTCTGCACAGAAAGTTATCTCACACACACACACACACACACACACACACACACACACACACACACACACACAACGGCACAAAAATCTCAGAGATTAAAATGTAACCTTTGAACATCATTTCCAATTTGCTTCAGCTCTTAGATATATTGAGATCAATGGTCCTAGCCTAGATCTAAGTTCAGGTTGCTCTCAATCAAACAATGCTCATTCACAAAAATAATTTTCCTATTTGCAAGAGAGTTATAAACTGTGACACCAATGCTTCTAGGAGGCCAGCCTAACATACTCAGAGACTAGAATTATTAACTTTTATTTGTTAAAAAGAATCTAGAGTGGTAAGACAGAAATGAATACTGAGCTACACAGAGTCCATATTTAACAATTCTCCAATCTATCTACTTGGACATATTAATACTGTACAAAGTCCACATTAGTACTATCGATCCATACATTGAGTTCAATTGTCTATTAACATACAAAAGAAGAACAAAGACATACATGCAGAGTTCTAAAAAAAAGAATTTTAGATACTGGACACAATTTTGCCAAGTGGATGTGAAGAAAACTGATTGAGAAACATCTTAACATTTGTACACCCCTGTAGAATTGCAGAAGTCTTCTGAAGAAGACTAGCATTGGACAAATGACAGCTTAGAAGCAGGATACCATGCACAAAGCTACTCTGGTCTCCTGCAATGTTATATTCAAAGGCTATTTCTACTCTGCGGATATTTCAGACCATCTTTACATATAATATCTGTAATACACAGCAAGCATAGCAACAAAAGCCTGTCAGGAAAGGAATCAAACATATGCTATCTAATTTTATGATTAATAACATACCTTGAAAAGGACATCCACCGCATCCTCATAGAAATCCTTGGTAAAGTTTGTGTACTTTTAAAGACTTCTGGACTAGAAAAAAAAAAAGAAAAAGATATTACAAATGCTGTAAGCCCAACATTGTGCTCTCCCTAAGAATCCTACAGAAAGCAACAATGTACCATGACTGGAAACATAATTTAATTTCACCATGGCTATACATTTATTGCCTTTAATGTGGGAGCAGCCGTCCCCATTTTTCTATCTCTGTTAGTTTATGTCTTAAAGAACACGATAGTCATAAATATCCCATGGGAAATTCCTATGTCTAAAAAATTGACCAGTTATCTTCTTTGTACAGAGTTCTTATTTGTGAACATTTGTCATCTAACAGCAGCAGAGGGTATAGATCAAGAAGAAAAAGGACCAGTATTGCCTACAAAAGTGTGAAAATAGTAACTATTAGTGCCTGAGATCTCTTATTTATTTAATGAAAGATCAATAATCAAGCTTGCATGTTTGATTGCCACAGTTCTGCATACAGCAAAGCATAGCTGCAGTGGAACTAATTGCTCTCTATTAAAGCAAACAACAACAAAAACAAAATTTGACTGGTTGATTTTGTATCATTAAGGAAAAAACTCACAACAGATTCATATTCTAATAGAGCAAAAATACAACAGTCTTTTGAAAGATTCTAATGATGACTCCGATTGCATGAACTGTCACTCCTAAAAATGAAATCTCTTTATAGGGCCTTAGTTCCCAGCAGTTATTTCTCTCTTTACAAAGCTATACGACACAATGTGATGTAAAAGCAAAGAAACAAATAAATTGAGCCAATCTTTAAAAAATCTACGAAATTCAGAGTCAAATTATCCAAATCATTCTCAAAATGTCTTCAGGTACTTTTTTTTTTTTAGTAAATATTGAGAAAAAGGAAAACAGAACTATTTTTCAGATCAACACCCAGTGCTATCTGAGGTTTAGAATTGTTTCCTACTAGCCATATTTTCCAAAAAACAACAAAGTTCACGAGCAATTGAAAATCATTTGAAATTTCCTTTTTTTTTTTTTTTTTTTTTCACAGCATTTGAAAGCATTTTACACTTGAAAAGAGTATATGGAGGAACTCAAAATGAGGCAAAATCACTGACTTGACCAATTGCCATTTCAACTTATTGAGGTTCACTTACCAATAAATCAAACAGTATTTATCAGTAAGGTGCACAGCAAAGATGTCACTTTGCTCCTCATACAATGCTAGGACATAGAAAGCATCTCAAAGCAGTATTTTTAACATCAGTCCTTCTTGTTGTACTTGACATCACAAGTATAACTTCAGTTAGCAGCTTGTTTTCTCTGGCCACATAATACTTTCTAATATCAAATACTGGACATCATGACTTTTATCTAATTTTTAATGAGGCCATAATTAAGGCATCAGAAATACTACATCAAGAGCTGAAGTATCCAATCTAGCAAACCTTTGAAAGCAGATGCACAATTATTTTCTAATTAAATTCCATGGAAGTAGAAGTATCAACAGAAAGGAAGATGAATAAATATTGACTAACACAGGTGTAACACCTTTACCAAAATTACTGGCAAAGCTTAATGATAAACTAGCCAAACAATTCAGTGTGACAGGATTTGTGCTAAGATCTCCCACAGAGATCTGGCGTAACAGCTGACCAGCAACACGAAGACAGCTGTTGTGTCTTCTTGCTTTTGCATGTGCTCCAGCACAGAAATTTGCGTGGCTGAAAAGATTAAGTCTGACACTAAGGAATCCCCCAGAAAATTCAGCAATTATTGTTCAGCAGACACTTTTCTCCCTAAAAAAGCACACTTTACTATTAAAATGTTTTGTTTGTTTTAGCATACAAAGTGAAGCACCAGCACTCCCTGCAAAGGATGCTACATAAAGATGTTAGTGCTCATTTATGCTGATAAAGTAACAAATCCAGAACTAGTAGTGAGGCACCATGTGTAATTCACTAGTGGTAATTGGACTTGAAAACCACTACTTGTCAGCTTGTCAGTAGCAACATTTTGGGAGAAGAGCTATCAAAAGAAGCAGAGCCACACCCCAACATCACCTGGCACAGCTGGCTGGAAACTGCCCAGCAGTGTGTTCACCTGAAATAGTGTCACCAGCAGAGATCTGACTAGAGGCTGACACTCATCACAAAGTGTAGTCCAAGTATTACAAATGCTGCTTTGAAGAGCTCCACAGAAGCAGAATCATTTCCTGATTCCCACTTTTATTGTATGTGTACAATATGAATGCATGTACTGACCAGCACAGACGCTTCTGAGATTGCAAGAGCCACGTCATGTTCTCCCTTTGCCTGATTCAAAGCAGAGATTTTCAACTCAGATCACTCTACCTTAGGCAGAGAAAAGACATGAACCTTCTACAGAAGGCTTACAGAAGATACCTTTTACATTCTCAGGCTGTTCCTAAGTATTCAAGAAGTCTAAGACATTTTCTACATTAACGCTGTGCTTCATGAATACTTTGGCAAAACATACATAATTTAGCAGAAGGATATACTTCTGCTACTTGGAAATTCTAGCAAAATTGTTTTTGCTGGGTGTAATCATGAGTCTTAATCAAATTAACTTTCTGATATGGCTAGGGAAATAAACATGTTTAAGTATTATCATGGTCATCTATAGTGAGAAGTACACCTTTAGATGTCTATCTTCCTGATTAATTCTCCTTTTGTAACACCTGTGCACTGCTCAGTTACGTTTGTAATTCAAATCTTGCTTTATGTTAGTAAATCAGGGAAAAACACCATGAAACTGAATTACAAATATTTTTGGAACAAAAGTGAACTTTGCAACTAAATTGCTGTGTTTTGAACATATCACTCTTTGGTGGTACTAAATTATTATCTTCTAATATGTTGAACTGCAGACAAAAGTTCCTTATCTGCTTGGTACTGAAAATCTACCTGAAATACTCTGCTATATTATGTTTTAACTTACATACAGAAATTTAAAACCAACAATTAAAAAATCATCAGGGTTAGCTGGATTCTCTACATTTTGTGCAGGAGTCCATGAAAGCCCTACTTGAATAATAAGAGCCCTCTAAGAACCACGTGAAAAAGTCTCAAACAAATTTACAGCACTCACAATTAATGTCTTGAAACCAATATGCTCAATAAATATAGATTAGATTTAGCTGCTGAGTGTTAACAAGATTACTATTCACAATGACCATCCTGCAAAGACCTGCTTCTCAAAGAAAAATAGTCTTTTTTTTTTTTCCAGAAAAAAAAGGCTCTTCCCACAGTAAACCAAGAACTCCTGGCAAACTTGAAGTGTATACAACCCAATTTCTATTCTCCCCCTCCTACTTTCCCTGCCTCTAGTTCTAGGAATCAGCTATTAGAAGCAGAACTCAGCAAAAGTTTAGATCAGGTAGAGTGGAAAAGGCGGAGCAGATCCACGCTGAGGGCCTGTCTGCTCTGCTCAGAAGGAAGTTATCTCACTTCACATATCCTCTCAGTGGCTCATAACAAGAGACTTTTAAAAGACATTATTACACAACACTCATATCTAGAATTACTGTACTGTATGGTTTATTACTGCAGGCCTCCCAGTGAAGTCAGCTTGCCAAAATCAGAGTGGTCTATCTGGAAACTGTATTCCGTTTCTATTAGCCTATAAACAAAGCATCACTGTTACTTAGGAATAAATGTAGAGTGCGCATTTTCTCTTTTTGAACTCAGATTTGGTTTCAAAATGTGTTCTTTACTGTGCTTACATAAATATGGGTATACACATATGCATACACACATGCAATCCATAATATTTATAGTCACACCAAGGAAAAGTTCACCCTTAAGCTGACTTCTGCAGTTATTTTGCCATTTTATTAAAAGAATGTGACTGAAATTCTATTCTCAGTACAATGTAGCATGCTCCAGCACAGTCTTGATATGAGGCATCTTGATCTTTTTACTGAGCCTAATTTAGAAAGCAAAACATCTTTTCTGGTCTTTTTGTTCCCTCCTCCCCCACCCAGAGAAGGAGACTTTTTCCCGCCTTGTGATCAATTTCATGCCATTTTCTTTAAACAGAGATATCAAATTGTTAAACATTTTAACCACAGTATGTCCCAGTAATTCAATCTTTTGCATTTGCTTGGGTGTCCCAAAGTGTTTTGAGTTCAAACAGCACAAGGAAACAGCAGTGCTGGTCAGTCCCCTCTTAAATCTTCTTATGGATTTCATTTGCTGTGTGGCCTGAGAGAGGTCAAAAGGTTTTGGCACAGAAGTAGAATTTGAGAAATAATCACCTTATAGACCCACTAAATCAATCATAATTAATGCACTTGCCTAGTTCTGTCAGAGAATTGCTGCTAGAGGGCAAAATAAAGAGGCCCCCTCTAATACAATTTGAAAAGAGATCAGATCTGTCATTTCATCTAATAATTGAGCCAAATGAGAAAAGAGAAGGGTCAGAGTTCATTCGGTGACCTTATGTAAACCCAATAATACATAATTCATTTTCATTTTATGGAATTTATAAGATGCTGTAAACTGTCACAATACAGACTCATCTGCTTTAGCTTCACCAAAATCTTCCTGCTCATCATGCAACACACTGAGCTGCCAAAACTTTTAAGTGGTATGTTCTGGCAGAATAATCCAAAACCTTCATCAGGGACTGGCATTTAATTCATTCTTCCAAGCGTGTGAAGTTAATAACTGAATAAATCACTCGCAGCTCTTTCTGAATGATATAAAACCTGTAATTTATTTACTGAGTGTTACAAATACAGTTAAAGCATGTTTTCATGCAAAAGGGTTTCTTTTCTTTTTTATTATTGTTATAAAAGGTTTATTTATTTATTTATGAACATGGGATAGAAATACATATGCCCTCAGAATGGAATATTTCATTCCATCCCAAAACTGAGTGGACCACATTCAGGACTCATTTCAGTTATTACCTACAAACTGAAAGTGACCTGAGGACATATTTAGTAAACAGTTCTCATCGCATTGTTCTTTCTTTTCACTCAGTGCTGAATATTACTTGAAAACATCAAAACCATTACCTTTCCAGCC